AACATGCTGTAAATGGTTTGCTCACAGTGTCTCATATCCAGACTTATTTGTCTTTTCTTTGGTTTTACATAGTCGCCACACTTTTTTATATAGTTTAAAATGATTAAAAACTTGGTTTTGCATAATATGTCCCCTTTAACATGTGTCTTTGTGGCATATGTGGCACACAGTGACATAGGGGAAACAATGAAACTAAATTAACACTCCCCTCAACATCAACACCTTTTCTCCTGTATGTGCAATAAATAAGCTCAGGCAACAGAGAACAAAAGTTGAACATAGTGCAATATAGTTGAGCATAAACTTTCAATAAAAAAACTAGCCCTTTTACCATAAAAATAAAAAAGGAACAATTTTTAAAGTTGTAGTCGACACACATCTGCCTCACCTCTACTTTCACTGAGACAAACTAGCTTCTCTACATTCTCAGAGCTCAAGGCTGCCCTCTTTTTTTGGACTATGTTACCTGCAAGTGAAAAAAGTCTCTCACAAGGGACAGAACTTGCAGGGGCAGCCAGATATTTGCTTTTCCAGCAGAGCCTGAAGGCTGGTCCACACTGCTTCTCTATCTCCTTTTTTAGGACACTTCAAGTCCTTGAAGCGTGGGTCTAATGCTGAAACTATGTTGAGTCATCCATTGTTGAGGTTTGCTTGCCGTTCAGACAGGTCCTTTTTAAAGGCAGTCTTGAATTTTCCAATATAGGCTAGGTTCTTGTCTGAAACTTCCATTGTACGGCACAGGTGGCACAGAGCAGGCAACACCACAGAGCAGGAAACATAAGTTTCACCTCCAAAGAGCTCAGTCACATATCTGCACTGCATTAGGCTATATCAGTCATAATAGTAGCCTAGCCTACTTAAACAATTTCCTAAATAAAATACTGTTCATTTCTTTACAATGAATAAAAAACACATTGCACACACACAAAAGACATTTTGTGTGTGTGCATGTGTGTAATCTTTTACCTGCGTGGTTCAAGGATGGTTTTCAGCCTCTGAAGTTAGTCCCACTCAGATGTAGTCCGCATAGTCAGCTTGTGCTTCTGTCAGCTCAGTGTAGCCTCGATAGCCTCCTGGTTGTCGAGGAGATGAGAGATCATGGCGAGTGATGACTTCCATCTTGTGACAACATCCTGAGTCAGACTTTGGGTCACTTGCCCAAGTTGAGTTTGCTGCTGGTGGAGCTCCTCTGTATTGGCAGGGGCATGTTTAAAATGTCCCACTATCTTAGGACACTTTGCCAATGTGTCACAAAGCCCACTGTCAGTGAGGCAAACA